TGAGTTAAAATTTTGATTGTGTACCTATTTTACGGTTCCAAGACCTTTAACCAAGTTTCATATGATTTTGAGAACAATTTCATATGGCTGCCATATAACCGATGTGGGCGACTTTTTTGGCTATAAAGATATTGAGGTGAAAATTGGTTTGTGTGCAAATTTTATGGTCACAATACCACCCACTAAGTTTTATATGATTTGAAGTACTTTTTCATATAGCTGCCATATAACCGATCTGGCCGACTTGTAACGAGGTGATAGATTACACTTCGGCAAGAGTGTACTAATATAATTGACGAGGGCTTTCACTTTCATTTTAAATGATTTGTCACTTAAATGTTTTTGAGTGATAGTTTTCAATATGTGCTGTACTTCGTCTTAAGAGCGATTGTTGTTGCTCCAAATGTCTACACATATTTTACTAGAAAAATTTGAATTCTGCGAAAACGTGTGGATTCGGAGTAAAAGCGTTAGTTTCTCATTAATCTTCACACTTTGGTTAATAACTAGTCACTTAAAACTCGTTTCTAATCGTTGCTATGCAAGAGTGCACGAAACACAACTACATTTCTTAAGGTCTTTCTAAAAATATCAGGTCATGTTGGTCATAAGGAAGAATTTTTTGTGCGTTGTTTTCAAAGAACAAGTTCTGTAAAGTATTGCATGTATTGCTGAAGAGGGTGGGCTGGGATGAATTGCCAGGTCCTAGACCAATTGCCTCAAGATTGTTTGTGAGGTGAGTCTCCTTCAATATATTACTGTTGAAGTCACCCGCCAAAATTATATTAGCATATGTCAGAGACAGTTCGGTGCTAACATTTAGCATATCACTGTATTTAATATTGCGGTGCGGGCGATATAAGCAGCCGATTAGTGTGTCAGACGTATTTTTTATGGTTTTTACGGTAATAGTCAAGAAGTCAACTGCACCGGTTGCCTAATTGAAACCCTAGATTTTAATCTTATACTGACATAAATCGCCACTCTTACACCATGTCCCTAACGGTTCGATCGAAAAACATTATAATCACAACACATACACTAGACATAAACCAAGTTTCGGACACACATATAATATCTACTGACGAATTAACAAATAAAAATCGAAGTTCATCTATATTTTTTGTCAAGCCTTGTGCATTGATGTAACAGATACTCAGACCTTTCTTTTGTCTGTTTAAGACTCTGATAACACTACTCGACAAAATTGACATTTTTTTTCCTCAAGGATCCAAACCGACTTTTTCTGATAAAGAATTTTTAAAGAATTATGGTTTTTTTTCTATGGCAGAACTTTTTTTTAAAGAATTTTTTAAGTCTGTTATTTTTTTTAAAGCTTTTTTCAGAGGTAGCACTTGTTTTTTTCACATAAAATTCGTTAACCAAACCTAAAATATGGAAAAAATTAACAAAAAATACCTTTTGGAAGGTTGCGGGCCCAACTGCCAATTGGGAACAAAGCAAACGAAAAAGGTTTGTACATTTGGTACCTGATCGCGTTCCTTTGTTCCCAATGGGCAGTTGGTCTCGCAACCTTCCAAAAGGTATTTTTTGTTCATTTTCTCCATATTTTAGGTTTGGTTAACGAATTTAAGCTCCAAAGTCTCTCCATGGATTTTAATGAGCGATACCTTAAACGACGCCAAATGCACCTATACATAAAAAAATAGAGGACACAGGATATAATTTTTTTTCGACTTTTCCTGAGTTTTTAAAGTCAAAATTTCGTAAAAAATACCGCACGAAAATCATAATTTTTGCATTTCAATGCTTTATATTTCCCAGACGGTAAGTTAAAATCACAAAGTGTTTGGGCTCAACTTCTAGCTGTTTTATATATCTTTTTAAAATAGCAAGGTTCTTTACAACCAGACGTAAGATACTAGAGTTATGTGAAAAAAACAAGCGCTACCTCTGAAAAAAGCTTTAAAAAAATACCAGTTTTCAAAAATTCTTTGAAAAAAGTTCTGCCATAGAAAAAAAAAATATCATCAAACCATTTCTAAGCCTTTGACGCTTTAAGAAATAGTTGGTTTTGTTCCTTGAGGAAAAATCGTGTCGAGTAGTGTAATCGCATGATGGTTAAGCTTAGCTGTTGTAATCGGTTCCTGCATGACCTAGAACTATAAATTGAAAGGCCAGATTCGAATTTTGCCTATTTCTAAATAGATAGTACACACCATATAAACATAAAAAGATTTAACAAACAGAATTAAGTTTATGAAAAGGATATTATTAACTAGGGTTTGATTTTTCTAGAGCTATTGTCTGCGAAAAGAATTATCCATCCCCTTATCACCAATCATGGCTTACAGCGATAAGAACTCCTCTTGATTTGCAATACGCAGAGGTTTGGCAGTTTTATTCGTTTTCACGTACACGAAAGCTCGACGAGTGAAGACAGGTGTTATAAGCCTGCGTTTTTTCATTTGCATTACTTTATTAAAAATCTCGTAGTTTACTTTCGTCAGCTAATCATTAACGCAGAATGGAGCAGCAGAGTCGAAGCCCAGCTCGATTAGACTTAACTGTCTTTTTTGCTCTCGCCTAAACTGCACAGTTCGCCGCAAAAAATCAATCTATTCCCCAACATTTTCGAGTCGAACAATTATCAGGGGGTCCACCACCCCCTGAACAGCTACTTTATGCCTTGTTATTGTTTTTAATTTTGGAGCAGATGTTAAATTAAAAGCAAACCATAGAGTGTTGAAAATTGCCTTCCGATTTTCGCTCTCGGTAAACGGAACACAGTGCATACGAAGTCCATGATGGACTTATATAAGGTGATCTCGTCGGCTGCCGAATCGTTCGTTTTTTAGTCCCTTAACGTTCAGTGCGTGCTCGCTTGTTGAAGAGAAAGCTTTTCTGTAAGCATTGTTAAGGGACTGCTTTTGCCGACGAGACCACCTTATATAATTGCATCATGTTTAGGTCTGCAGCAGTGTTCGCCGCTGCCGTTTCGTTGCTGGTTGGTTGTTGTTTTTGTTTACGGATAGCGTGGGTGAGATAGCGGCCAGACGAAGCGAGAGTCCAAGTCTAATAACGGGACCGCGGCGACGATGCCAGCAAACGAAAACTTTCGAAATGCACAAAGCACAGCTGAGCACAAGTAGATTCCGTTAAAGAGCGTGAGAGCGAAGCGACGTAGTGATAGGCGAGAGTCAAGTCACGGAGAGCAGCAGCGTATAGACGATGAAAGGAGACAGAAAGCTTAGGAGGGCACGTAAGATCCGTTAGAGAGAGAAGGCAAGCAAAGCGACACAGCAAAGATCACAGCTGACACTGCACGGTGGAGAGTGGGCACCAACAGGGAAGGAGGAGCGTTAATCCAGGAGAGCAGCGTACTCGGAGAGTCAAATGTGAACAACAACAAGTTCTGTTTACCACGAAACGTTGTTTCTTGTCTTCGATTTTGTTTATTAATGTTTGGGTGGTTAAAAGTCACAGAATTATTTTGGATTTATACTGAATTTACACTGAACAGTTTAAAATAATTATTGCTTTAAATTGTGGGTGTATATTCTCGTCTCAACTAGCAAAACGTTTTGCAGAAAATAATAACACAACCGTTCACGACTGAAGATGAAGCCATGTCTGTCTGTCCGTCCGTCTTGTTTGTTGCCTAGATCTCAGAGACTACAAGAGCTAGAGCAACCAAATTTTATTTCCAGACTCATGTGATATCACACTGTTACAAATGTATTCAAATTTTCGCCCCGCCCTCTTCCGCCCTCACAAAGTACGAAAATATGTGACATGCACAAGTTTAAAATACGAGAAAAACAAAAAACACTCCTGAATCAGATCGGATCAATTTTATAGCCAGAATAAAGAAATTAATTTTCAGTTGCTTCCCCGACCTCCGCCAGCACGAGACCACGCCACTCATTCTCCTTCTCGCTCGCACACACTCTGCCCTGTGCAATGCGCAACCTTTGCGGAGAAGATGTATAATCTAAATTGTGTATGTATAATTTTAGATGTGGAATTGACATTGTAGATGTACATAAAAGATGTAGCAAAAAAATTAAAATGTAAAATATTTTAAAATTCTACATAAATCATAAGCTCTCAAATTTATATACTGACTGAGTACGGGTATAAAAGTAAAGTCGCGTCCCCATAAGCGTTCCATTTCGTTTTTTGTATAATTAGAAAGAAATGTAAAAAAAATTTTCATAGCATGTTGTCAGTAGTTTTATGAGAGATTGGCCTGAAAACTATAAATATGTCTATTTCTTCACTTCTAAAGACATTTTTATATTTAATTATTTCACATGCAAAAAATATGTTATGTTTGCAATCTTTCTACCAAATCTAGTTATTGCAATATATTAGGAAGAAAAAAAATGCAAAGAGACCCAAAAATGGTTCAATTAACTGTTAATTTTAATTTTTATCTATGATTTAATCGTACGTCCGCGACCGAAAACATAATTTTATTGTGATTGCTTCGCGTTCCACGAAAGCAGGTGGCTGACACAACACACGTTAAGTATGTTTGGTTTAACTAATTCAAATATAACAAACCTTGGGGTTAATCTCAACAAAACTTTTTATTTTGATTTTTAGATTTGCGTATGTGTGCAACCGTCGATGTAGATTTTTTTCATAAAGCCAGGCAGTACAAAAATCGAATACGAGGCTTTACTCACCTTATTACACCATTATTTTCTTAGAGAACCAAACCGACTTTTTTTTTTTGGTCTTTCAAATAATTTAATAATTTTTTTTTGTTTTTTGTTTTTAATTTTAATTTTTATTTTTGTTATTCTTTTTTCAAAGGTAGCGCTTCTTCTTTTTACTTAACTTATGAAGGTCTCTTATATTTGAATGTTTCCATTCTAATGAAGAATTTGTATACATATGTATGTATGTTTGTACTATGTACTCTAATGATTTAATCTGTGCGTTATACGTAATACCCTCCCAAGAGCAGAACAACAAGTTGTTTTTGCATGTGTAGGTTCGATATATATATAATAAAATTTTCCATTTAGAAATAAAATAAAAAAGACTATACCACTGTCGTCCAAGGAGAACCACCTCGTTGGAGTTTCAGCAGGTAAGTGATTTATTGATTGTGTCAAGAAAATCAGTTGAATTTCTTGTATTGTAAATACTGTAAGTAACCATTGTACACCGCATATGCTTAGGCACTGCAGCGGCTGTGTAAGGCTGTGCAATGCAATTGTAAGGCGCAAATTCTTACAACAAATTCTTCGATGGCCTTAAGATGTTGCGAGGCATGGCGGATTTTTATACCCGTTCAGGGTTTTATTAGATTTGTGGTCAAAGTGGATGTGTGTAACGCAAAGTAGGAAATATATTCCGCTTTGAACCAAATCGACTTTCTGATAGATTGGGAACTTATGAATTCAAATAAGTAAAAGTTCACTTTTCGGTATTTATACCCGTACTCAAAAAAGAGTTAAGGGGTATATTAGATTTGTGGTAAAAGTGGATGTGTGCAACGCAGAGAAGGAAACGTTTCCGACCCCATAAAGTATATATATTCTTGATCAGCATCAATAGCCGAGTCGATATAGCCATGTCCGTCTGTCCGTCCGTCCGTCCGTCTGTCCGTCTGTCCGTCTGTCCGTCTTGATGAGCGCCTAGATCTGAGAGACTATAAGAGCTAGAGAAACCAAATTTGGTTTCCAGACTCATGTGATATCACACTGCTACAAGTGTATTTCAAAATTTCGCCCCGCCCCCTTCCGCCCCCACAAAGGACGAAAATCTGTGGCAGGCACATTTTTAAAGATACGATAAAACTAAAAACGCAGTATGCCCATATCTACCAGATTGCCGAATGAACTAGATCGGATCATAATTATAGCCAGAATGAAGAAATTAATTTTCTGTTGGTTCCCTCTCCTTCTCCAGCGCTGCTGACGCTACTGATTCTCTTTCTCGCTCGCACACTCTGCCGCGTTCAGTGCGCGAGCAACCCCTAGCGGAGGAGATGTAGAATATAAATGGTACATGTACAATCTACTTGTTAGATGTGGAATATACATTGTAGATGTAGATAACAGATGTAGCAAAAAAATGTAAAATGTAAAATTTTTTTTTTAATTTTTAAATTCTAAAAAATCATAAGCTCAAAAATGTATATACTGACTGAGTACGGGTATAAGTAGAGTCGCGTCCCCAGAAGCGACTCACACGTTCCTTCTCGTTTTTTTTTGTTTCAGTAATGATTTCTATTACTATTATCTTTTATAAAAAAGATGACTCTTTAGAAAAGTTAGTCCACAAAATATTTCTAACTATTCAACTTTCTAAAAAAAAAAATAGGAGAAAAATGGTTCAATCTCGGCTAACGGTTTATTTCTATCTGTTATTAACCTAGGAATTTTTGTCCCGTGCGAATATGGTCTTAAATTAATTACAAAAAAAAACCACGAATCATATTTTCTTAAAATAATAACCATTTTAAAGAGAGATCAATGCACAAAATGAAAAGAAATTTGCATTTTTTTTTGACAAAATCTCGAAAACGAATATTTGCCCAAAATCGGATAGAGGTATATAAAGTAAAACAATTTTGAAAATCCGACTTATTTCGACTTCAGAGAAATGCCCATATGTAGATGTAGCTGACAGATGTGGGAAAAAAATGTAAGCTGATCAAATATTTAAAGATTCCACTGAAATCATAACTTCACATACGTATATACGGACTGTGTACGGGTATAAAAGTAGATTCGCGGCAACAGAAATGACTCAGAATGTTCCTTCTCTTTTTTTGTTGTTGTTTTTGTTTGGAGCATAGTCCCGAAAATCGAACATTTATCCTAAATTGTAACCTATACCAAGAGAGACCAAAAATCTGTTCTATGGCGGGGTTTTTCGTTATGCCCCTGAGAAAGATAGATCTCGCGGGGCTTCAATTCTCTTTTAGCCAATGCTTCGACTCTGACCACGATCCCACGGCCCCATGGATTCATATTTTCGTAAATGCCTTGAGCAGCGCCGAGTCGAGACAAATTTGCAAAAACAACTATATACATTACAGAAAATGTTTTAATTTGTACGGGCGCTGGTCCGAGTAGCAGTTCACAGGCGAAGGATAGCCCAAAAGAGAATTTAAGTAAAGGGAATTGGTTCCTGATGCCATATCTTGGTAATTGTATAGAGTTAGGGCCGGTTTCTCGACTTCGGGTTAACATTATTCGCAACGTTAAAGTATCAGATAAAAAAAAATCTCTTTGTAAATGGCTCATGCAAGGGATAACTTCCAACCTAACTTTGTCGGCTTTACAAAAAGCCACCCTGATTTAAGCAACCCTAAGAAGAAGTGCGTTTTTTTTTCCAAAATTTAATTAAAAATAAGTAACAATGGAGTTCTGTATAACATGGAAAGAGAACTTGAGTTTGAAGGTGAAGTCAACTTTAATAGTGAAAGGGTTTTTAAGAAAAGAACGGATTATTTTGAGATATCTTCTTCGTAAGCAAATTTACGTTGAGTTTTTTTTTAAGTTGTCGTACTTGTCCCTGAGTGCATTCCATGCTATTCCAGTTTTTCGGAATGCAGATTCCACGCTTCCGTTTTCTGTTTTCATGTAAATTCATCAGTCTTCTTATTCTCTACTAATTTTTTTACTCTCTATGAGACCGACTAGGATATGCTCCTCCACCTGGAAAAAGATTTTTCCACGATTTTATCATTCGTCATTTGTGGTGATAATGGTTTTATCCCCGATCGGCCGAATAATTATTTCGAATAAACAAGAACACGGCGCAGAAGTAAAATTCAAATGTACATATGTATGTTCTTTAATGCCATCCAAATTGCAAGTGGTCTTGCTTCCCTTTTTCATTGCCGATTCGATCGCTGAGCGCAGCTTCGCTCTGCAGTGATAAGCAGCGTATAGTTGTAGATAACGAAGAGCAAGCTTCGAGAGAGCGATTAGCAGGGCTTAATATATTCCAGGCGTTAAGCTTCAGACACAAAGTTTCTGGGTACGATTTATAGTTGCATTGGGCAGCTTTTCAGAACTGCAAATTTCTATGCAACCAGATGTAAGATACTTAAGTTATGTGAAAAAAAAGCATTAGTTTCAGCTAAAATTATTTTTGAGTTATTTTGGTCAAACGGCTGCAAATTGACCGTTTATCCATAGATTCTGATGAGCAATCAATTAATTATCAATTAATACGTCTATCTAAAACTAAAAATGTTGGCCAAGAATTGTTTTTTTTTTTTACTTTTCCCGAGTTTTTAAAGTCAGAAATGCAGCTATAAATCGGATCTGAATTAAAAAATACCAGATTTTAAAAAAATTCTTAAAAAACAACTAGACCATAAAAAAAACATAATTCGTTTAAAAAAATGTAAACTCCGAAATCTATAATAAAAAGTCATGTTGGGCCACAGCCTAAATGACGTGTTGACTAGTGTAAATTAAGGTGGTGCGGATAGCTCCTTTGATACATAGAGCGGCATTTTGCTGTACTTTTCCCAGTGGGTTTTTTTTAGGTCCGACCACCACACTGTAACTCCGTAGAGTAGTTTTGATCTTGCTATCGCTAGATATATCCATTGGACTATGAATCGGTTCATACCGCATTTTAAGCCATTTTTTTCCAATTTAATATTTTGTCAATTACCAACACCAAGTAGTTGGCACTGTCGGCCAATGAGAGCCCCCATTGATTTCGTATTTGGGGGTTGATTGTTGTACTTTTTTGAGAACAGCACGAGTTTCGTTTTTGTGGGACTAAGGCTCGCTCGACATCGATAGATGCTATTAAGTTGTATTGCCCTGGAACCATCCATATCTTTGCAGACTGTTGCTGGTCCTGGGTCCTTCTCGAGTAGTTCGAAGCAGCGCTCGGAAGTTTCCGCTTCCACCCACTTCTACTGATTTTTTTGTATTCTACTCTCGCACTACCTACACGTCCAGGACACCTATAATTGTCCTTTTCTGCGCGAAGGATAGATTTTGCTGGGCTCTTGATCTCTTCGCAGCGGGTCCTGGATGCGTCTCCTGGGAGCGCTGTCTCTTTGGCTGAGGAGCTTCCCTTTGTGGCTTCATACTGAAGCCAGACAATCGGCTGATGGGCTGTCTTGGGCTGTCTTGGGCTTCCTGGAGGCGGTATCTGAAATAGAAAAGCTGGTTCAAAATCAAGGCGTAAAGTAGAGTACTCGAAGAGTTTAGAGATATATTAGATTTATGATCAAAGTGGATGTGTAAAAATCATAAGGAAACTTTACCCATCTCATAAAGAATATACATATATTCTTGATCAGCATCAATAGCCGAGTCGCTGTCTGTCTGTCCGTCCGTCACAATTCTACAAGTGTATTTCAAAATCCGTACTCGAAGAGTTAAGGGGTATATTAGATTTGTGGTAAAAGTGGATGTGTGTAACGCAGAGAAGGAAACGTTTCCGACCACATGAAGAATATATATTCTTGATCAGCACCAATAGCCGAGTCGATATATCCATGTCTGTCTGTCCGTCCGTCTTGTTTGTCGCCTAGTTCTCGGAGACTATAAGCGCAAGAGAAACCAAATTTTTGTTTGTAGTAAAAGGGAAAGCTCTCCCGGAGCTGTCAGATGTAATAACACTAGGCAACAACATTTTTTTCTGCTGTGAACCAAAAAACAAAATTTCTAATAGAATTGGGACCTTACAAATTGTTTAGGAATTATGGTTTTTTTTCATGATTTATTTTTTTGTTTTTTTTGTTTTTTTAATGAACCTTTGGCTTCGGCCCAATGTCAAAAAGGGGATCAAAGCAAACGAAACGGACTTGTGATTTTGGTTTTACCGAATAGTTTTAGTGATATATAAATTTAGATCCGCTCGTCGGAAGACGACTTAATTGAGTTGGAAAAATACTTTTACCTTCTAAAGAGTGTTACAAAGAAGCTTTAAAAGCAACTAAACAATCTAAAATTACTGGTTTTTTTGATAAACCAGAATAGCCAACACAAAAAAACAATTTGATTAATTAAAAACAAATTTGAATAATAAAACATTTTTTGCCACCATTTTTTCAATTCTAGAAACGTAACCCCTCTTTTGTACCATGTATCCGCTTAAGACGCTTTCGCTTAACACGAGGTTTTCCAGGAACGTAACACCCGTGTTAAGCGAGGGCCGGGCTTATAGCCAGAATGTAGAAAATAATTTTCAGTTGATAACCTAGTCGTTCCA